AATTATATATTGAAACAAACATTTTAAAATTATTGATTACATAATATTTTGGATTTATTAGGCTAAAATATCAGGTTAAATAAAATTTTATTTTTTTTAATGTGGCTACTATAAAATTTAAAATTTCCAATGGACTTGTATTATATTTCTATTGGACGGCACTGCTGTAGAGAAACATTAAGTTCCCTCTGTAAAATAACACTAACTTTTTAGGAGATACTTTCCTGGTATTTATGCATAAATGAGTAGAACTTTTACTTTCTTTTCCAGACTAAGTGTTCTATAGTTACTTGGGCCTTCAAGCTGCCTGCCTGTGCCTCTCTTTCTTACAGAAGAGACCCATCTCAAGTTAGTCACCATTACCCATATTTAGATTTCTTTCTGGAAATTTTATTACCTTAGCCAGCCTCCTGGTTCATATTATATAACCTATTTGAAAGAATTTAATTAGCATTGCATTATTAAACTAATGATTACCTAATCCTCACTTCTACTTGATTCATAGGAGTTATTAGCTTAACATTAAATAGCAAATATCTCACTGTTGAAACTTCAAATATGTTTTTTCTTGATAACTTAATTTTTTCATTTGCAATGTGCTTTAAATTGTATCTTATGAAGCTGAGATTGCAGATTGGTCATTTTGAAAAATCATCCTCAACGAAGGCTGTTATACAATTATGTAGAAAATCAAGATGGAGAGCTTCATTAATAAACTATCAGGTTACTGGAAAGAACTTTCCTTATTTCCAGCAGTTTCCCAAACTTTATCTCCAAAAGGATGAGGTTTCCACCTAATTTGAGAGATGACACTTTCTAAATGCACGTTAGTTTTTGCCCTAAGTTTACTTGCTCACTGAGTGATATACCCAATGACTTGAAAATAGATGCCCTTGGCAACGGTTCTAGGGCCAGGTGTGGAAATCCATTGCACACATGGGTGATTTATCCATTCCGTTGTTCATTGAGGAATGCCTAAGGGCCAGAACCTGGGCCTGCAAAAGAAACATACTCCTTGTCGCAAGGGCTTTAAAGTTTATAAGATAGGTTATTATAGGAAAGTATGGTGAGATTTAATCTAGGTAAGACAATAAAGGGATGCATTCCTGAGGAATTGGTGTTCAAGTAGGGGAACTGAAAAATAACCAGAAGTTAGGCAGAAGAAGAGGCTATGGAAAAGTTTGCCAGAAAGAGCAAACTG